TCTATTTAAAAAAAAAAATGCAAATAGTTTTTACTATATTTTGAAATACAAAAAAAAAAAATTTAAAACTGCTCCTTCAGAATAAGAGAACATGCGCTAAATTTGCACAGCTCAAGTCGAATGTAACCTTAAGAGCTGCTAATGAGTTATATAGATGAACAATGGTAAACGACTGGCATATTCCGCTCTCAATTAATTTCAACCAATTGAAACTGAGTTATACGCTTACTATTATTTTTTGAAGTGTTGCAACCTTGTTCTTATTAGTACTATTATCCCATTGGAAACTTTTTACAACCTTAAACCTAATTTAACAACAAAAAATGCCTCAACTCTGATAATGACAGATAAAAACTGATTGCTTACACAAGCCATTATACTGATTCTGAAACCATTGAAGCAGGTAACAACTTTGTCATTCAGAAAGATCAGAAATATCTTTCGTTTTCGTAAGTCTAATGCTGTATAGTGTTCTTAAAAGTGTCTAGAGAAGCAGAAAAATCAGACAAATGCACTGCTGCATAAGTTCCAGAAATGCTATTGCTACTGCAACTTATGCAGTATTCTGCAGTATACTTGCTATAGCAATAGCATTTCTAAATGCACTGCACGTACTAGTCCAAAAGCATCTGTATTAGATCAACGTTATAAGCTTTTAAAATATTTTGAAAAACCTATTCTAAATGAAACATATTCCACTCTCAAGACGTCGTCCATAAATCATGTCCCGCTTTAAAGGGGGAGGGGGTCCCCAATTTTGCGACGCAAAATTTATTTTTGATTTAAGTTTTAAATCTAGAGTAGACTTTATTTTGACCAAAGTATCTGACCAAACCACAACCCTTAGTTGATGCATCTACTTATTAATTATAAAATCAACTACATCAAAATCTTAATTAGTTGATGTGTACACTCCGTTAACGGAGTAGTTACAGCCTGTTAATGGACTGTTACAGTTGATGTTAATTTATACAATTTTACACGGAACTATTGGGGTGAAAAAAAAAAATTAAACAGACTGAAATACTAATTAATTAACTCAAAGAAGCTAAAAAATTTATTGACATTATCATATTTAACGTGGTCAACCCCAATCCAAATAAATTTCTTTAATAATGAATTTTCATTTTTGAAATTAGCCTAATTGTGTTGTATTTTACTTTAAATAAGTATTTTAAAAAAAAAATTGCCTCATTTATTTAACATTTCTTCTATTTTAGCATATTTAAAAAAAAGATTTCTCAGAAAGTAAACATCATTTTTTAATGGCTTTTGTTATTTCAGCTACTTATTTTAGCTTAGGTACCATAGCAGTTTTACCTATTTTACTCGTGTATTTCCAAAGTTGCCATAATAGTTTCTAGTTTTACCGCGTGGGTGATGACAAAAATCAAAAAACTAATCAAGCAAAAAAATTTATTCTTCTACCAGTCTTCTTTCAATGTATTTTGATAAAATTGAAACTATCTATCCTTTTAGATAATTTTTTTTAACTTTATCAAATTTGCTATAAATCTAATATAGAGATAATCGAAAAACAATAATAAAACTAAAAATAAAATGTTCCAGATTGATAAAAAAGAACTGGTTTTACTTCTGCTTATTTATCAAAGAATCATTTTTTAATTTCTCTCAGCTTCTGGCTTTACTTTGCTTTTGTTGGTAAATATACTTTGCTTTTGATATACGCAACACATCGAGTAACTTTGTAGCTTTACTCATAAACCGTACATTATTTACGCCTCAAGCTTTTAAAACATTAACTACTCCTTGAAAACCATTATTGAATGGATTATTAGTAGAATTCATTGACAATTTTAAAGACCTTTTACCAATATCTATATATAATCTTAGGACTCCTTTTCCAAATAACACCATTCAAGCTTTCATTACTGTTCTGTACTTTACTGCAAAGACGCTTTTTTAGTAAATCTTGATTAGATAAATCTCTGAAAATTGAGTTTAAAATTTTGTGAATGGCTAATTAAAGGCCTAATTTTGTTTTGTATTTAAATACGTTTGTTAGTTTATCAGACTACCATAAACAGTATTTGACGTAGGACAAAACTTGCATATTTATAAATGATGCAAAAGTACGCAAAGATTAATGAGTTTTTCCAAATTTTCTAAAAACCACGATAGCATTAAATTTTACAGCAGCAATAGGTTTTCCAGCAGAGGTTAAAATTAATTTAAGGCTTGAAAGAAATGTATCAAAGTTTGCAAAAAACTTACACACATCACATGATATGATAACTGTAACTCATATGAGAACCCATTTTTATTTTGTAAGTTTGCTTTTTAGTAATAAGTTTCTAACATTTAAATTTAATGGTAAAATGTTATTACTAAAAGATAAACTTACAAAACAAAAATGGGTTCTCACGTGAGTTGATGCAATGTTTAATGATTGAATAATGATTGAATAATAATTACATAATGAAGAGAAACAATGTTTAATGACTGTAAATGTGGTGAATGTTGTTCATTAAATTTTAATGAACAACATTTACAATCATTAAACATTGTCTTTAAAAATTTAAAGTTTATAGTTATATTGTAATTATCCTCTGTAATTTATCTTTTAAGTTTATTTTTTACATTATGAAACTCAGCATTATCATGCATTTTTTTTTTTTTGACTTACACATCCTTTTTTGTTTAAAACAGGTTTGATTAGAATTGTCTATACTTTAATTGGTAATATGTTAGTTTCCTATAAATTTTGTTTTTTAATATATATAGTAAATCTTGCAATTTTTTCAAAACTTTTTTACTTTTATATCAATTTATCATTGATATATAACTTGTAAATAAAACTTGAAAAGTTTACACTGCTGTTGTTACTTTACACAGCACTCTATAGTATTATACAAATCAAACTTTTGCGGCAAGGAGTTTAAAACATAGCAAAAAGTTACCAAAAAGCCATATAAGATGTTCTTAAGACGTTTCAGTGTAAGACGTTTCAGTGCAAAACGTTTCAGTGGAAGACGTTTTAGTGGAAGACGTTTCAGTGGAAGACGTCTCAGTAAAAAACGTTTATAAGACGTTTCAGTGTAAACCATATAAGACGTTTATAAGACGTTTCAGTGTTTTTTTTTATACTATGACTAAATGTATATTGGTTTTAAGGTTTTAATTGTTAAATTATCTTGAAAAGAAAAGGTTGCTATGGGCGTTGTATTGTAAACAAAGTCTACCCTAATCGTTCCCAAGATAAATTAGACAAATTTATGTACAAAATTGACAAATGTAGGTATTCTAATTATGTTCTACAATGATTGAAATAAAAGAACATCATTTTTTATAAATCTCAAAAAAAATGTAAAATACGTATTGAAAAATTATTACAGTAATAGCAGATAGTTCGACGTCAAAGCGAGCACGGTTCCAGTTGGAACCAAACCTACGAAAGAAAAATGTGTTTAATTAACTAGCATAGCAGTGCACAATTGACAAAGGATTTGGACATGAGGGTGAGCTTGAGCCTTACCTTTCGGAATTACCATTGACTTTAAACAGAAACATTAGGCGACAATTTCTATACATATCTATTCCACACCGGTTATTTATATACCTATTCCTTATTTACTTCAATATTTTTTAGTAAAAAAATTTATTCTGAAAAAAACATTTAAAAACAAAAAACTTATCATGTGCACCTTTTCCGCATACACTTAAAAGAGACTTACAATTAGGTTTGTTTTTCTGCTAAATACATATCATTGGTTAAGTACGCTGTCATTAGTTTTGTTTTGAGGGGTTTGAGACCTCTCCTTCTGCATTTCCTGAATCAGGAAAGCAAGATGAAGGAAGCCAATTCCAAAGAACTGAGGAAAAAAGGAAAAAAAGGAGGGAAAAAACTGAAGAAATAAAAGTTTTTGGAGCATTTAGAAACAGTCACAGAAAAATGATGAGACTTAATTGAATGATGAGTAACACGAGAATGAATTTTAGTAGATGGCACAAGAGACGCTAGCTCTTTAGAGCAGTGCCTATAATAGTATTTGTAAAAAAGAGAAGAGAAGTAACATTACAACGATGTGATAATGATTGGAGGTTGACTGCAAGAGCTGGTCCAACTATGATTACAATGCGTTTTTGCACCTTGTCTAAAAGAGAAAGTAAATCGTTAGAAGATCCGCCCCAGATAAGGCAACAGTGTTCCATGCAAGGCCGGATTTGAGATTTATAGAGATAGAGAATAGATTCCGGAGTAAGAAAGTGACAAGCTCAATAAAGAGATACAACCATAGCAGATGCTAATTTTGCAGCAGATTTAATATATAGTTTCCAAGAAAGATCGGAAGAAACAGTTAATCCTAGAAAACGAAGGGTAGATGACCGAGTACATTACCGTTCATAAATATAGGAAGATCTAAACTATTGCAATAACGGTTGGCTGAAAATTGAGTATTATCTGAATTAAGTGAAAAGTTCACCAGCCACTGTGAGACCCATGCTGTAGCCGAAGTGAGATCCTTTTCAAGCTGAAATTCCCCCTGAAAGCAATCAGAGAGTGTTGGATTTTTATCATGACAAGAATAAATGGTTGTATCATCAGCAAACAATGCCACCTAAGATGTGAGAATATCTGGAAGATCGTTAATGTAAATTAAAAAGAGTATAGAGCCAAGGGTTAAACCTTGAGGAACCCCTGAAGTTACAGAATATGACGAAGAGTTCTATCTATCGAGGACAACTTTTATACTACAATTGGAAAGGAAGGAATCAATAACCTTAAAGATGTTACCAGATACACGGTAAGAAGAAGCTTATGGAAAAGACCAGCATGCCAAACTTTATCAAAAGCTTAAGAAATATCTAATGTACAATAATGCATGATAAAACTTATTGGTTATTACTGTTAGCAAATCAGCTGTAGAACGAGAAGATTGAAATTCATATTAATGATCAGAGTTACATTCAAGATGAGAGATTAAGTGTTTGTCAGTTAAAGATTCAAAAACCTTGCTTATGATGAATTAAGAAGATTAATGGGATGGCAAGAGCACAGGGCTTTAATCAAGTCAGTGTCGGAAAGTTTTTTGATTTATAATATTGATGAAACAGGCATTACTACTGTTCCAAATAAGCCATCAAATGTGAATGCTATTTGTGGAAAGAAACAGGTTGGATGTCTAACTTCTGCTGAACATGGGCAATTGGTTACAGTGGAAATCTGGATGAGTGCTTCAGGCAATTTTGTGCCACCTCTTTTTGTTTTTCCAAGAGTTCACATGAAATATGAACTAATGGATGCTGCACCGCCCAGTTTAATTGCTGTTTGTCACCCATCAGGTTGGATGCAAAGTAATACATTTGTTACTTGGTTCATGCACTTTGTAAAGTATGTTAGCCCAACAAAGCATGAACCTGTTTTGCTAAAATTAGATGGGCATAAAACTCATACTTCAAGTCTAAAAGTAATTAATCTAGCTTGTCAAAATAATGTTATTTTATTGTGTCTTCCACCACATTGTAGCCATAGACTTTAACCTTTAGATGTAGCTTTTATGAAGCCTTTAATGACCTACTATGCACAAGAGGTTGAAAATTGGCTGAGAAATTATCCTGGATGAGTTGTAACAACTTAAATAGCTGAACTGTTTAAAAATAGCTACTTGCAAGAATCTGCTATCAATGCTGTTAATGGTTTCGTTAAGACTGGCATTTTCTCGATAAATCAAAATGTTTTTACAGACAACGATATTGCCTCAGCACTTTCAACTGATATTCCTATTGAGCAGTTGCTCAATAAAAATAAGGCGTTAGAAGATGTTCCTGGGCAAACATTATTCTTAAATACACCTAAAAAAAAAAAAAAAAAAAAAAAAAAAAAAATTTTGTTGAGCTAAATATTGTATTTATATTTATTGCAATTATAAATAGCACTTATGTTCATTGTGTTTTTTGATACTTTTTAAAATTAAACATATTATTTTTTAATTTGCTCAAGACTAGTCCGAGAGTTGTCACTTCAATTTAGGCACATTGTACATAGGGATGGCAATCCCGGGATCCCGAAATCCCAGGATTAGTATCTAAAATTTCCCGGGATTTCGGGATCGTAGAAAGAAAGGAAAAGTTAATAAAGTTTAAGCTCATAATTGTAGTTTAGTAATTTTTATATCGTCTTTGGTATAGCTGTTTGGTTGTGTAATTATTTATTCTCTTTGCAATGTTTTCCTTTTAAAACTCTCTTTTTCTGTATTTTACTAAATAAAAAAACTCAAAACATTATTGTTTGTCTGCAAAATGTATATATATATATATATATATATATATATATATATATATATATATATATATATATATATATATATATATATATGTATATATATATATATATATATATATATATATATATATATATATATATATATATATATATATATATATATATATATATATATATATATATATATATATATATATATATATATATATATATATATATATATATATATATAATTAAAATTCAAAATATTTAACGAAATAAAATTAATGTATAACTTTTATTAAAAACTCTTGCTCCTTCCACCAGCAAGTGCTTATATTTTTGTTATTTTTTATAATATACTAGTTTTGATATTATATTATATGTAATTAACTTTTACGCGGCGATTTTCATTTAACTTAATTTCCTATTTTGATTATTTATTTAAATTAAGACTCTGAAAAGAAAAACTTTTGATCTTTTTTTGTTTTCTTTATTGTGAAGTTTTGCGTTACATAATTTATGGACGACCCCTTTGCGTTTTTTTCTATTCAATCCCGGGATTTAACGGGGACAAATTTCTTAATCCCGAAATCTAGGGATTGAAAATTTCCGGGATTTTTGCCATCCCTACTTGTACATTCTGTCTCAGTTAAGTGAACAATGAACAGAAGATTATGTACCATTAATTAATTATTTACAGTAAATATATATATAGAAACTCTTGGATAGTTATGACTAAAAAGTTAAAATTTTCCTTTTGAAACATTTAACATTTTGACTTTATAAGTTCCCATTTAATTTAACAATAAATGATATAAGCTGAACATATATAATTTTTTTTAGTTTGTATGTGAATTCAATTAAATAAAATAAAACAATTAACAATATCAACTTTATAACAGACACGTACTATGGGTATTTTATAACAAGCACGTTGTAAAATCTCTATGCTGCAGCCAAGGTAGCAGCATGAATTTTTGCCTTACACCCTTTAATAATTTTTTTACAAGAAGATGATCTTAAAAAGATAAATTTTAAGTTAAATGTATCAAGTGCTAATTAAAAAAACAATTTTGATATTTCAAACTTGTTTTTGTCTTTCTAACCCATATTTTTTAATTACATAACCATACAGTGTATGATTGTATGGTATCACTGTTAGTAAACGACCGGGGCTGGTATTTGATTGTGGCATTAGCGCATATTGACTTGTTTTTATATATATCATATTAATATGCAACAATATTTATACAGCCTCAGACATAAACCCGGCTTTGACTAGCTCCGCCTAGCGGAGCTAGTCAAAGCCGTTTAAAAGTTTAAAAGTTTAGTCAAAGCTGTTTATGTGAACCCCGGTCGTTTACTAATCACTGTATGGTACGTACACAGTTCTGTATTAAAGGATTGTAGCAACAAAATATTGATTGGGTGGGGAATAAAGGTTTCTAATGCTCTAATTCAAAGCCCAATTACATGTAACTTACATGTAATCCTGTTACATGTAACATTAAAAATAACATGTAACTTCTTCTCTTGAAAGTGCACCCAGCATAATTAGAAGAATTTGGACTTAATTTTTTACAAATATTCTCGTTTTTTTTTTTACAAATATTCTTTTTTTTTTGTGTATCACTTTATATTAAACATCAATTAAGACTTATTTTTAGATGTTTTTGAAATAATAATTTTTTTTTGGTTTTTAGAGAATATTTAAATATTATAATTAAAAACTTGAATAACATTCTTTGTATGTTTCTTTGTAAAGATTCATTTTAGCCTAAGAAAAAAATCATTTTTTAAGTTTTTTTGTTTTAGCGAAGAAAAGCTCATTTTATAAAAGAAAAAATTTTTTTAGACTAAGAAAAGTTCTTAGACTAAGAAAACTCTCAAAAGAAAAGTTCTTTAACCTTCTTTTTTAACCTAACCCTTTAATCTTCTTTTTTAACCACAAAAAAGTTCATTTTAGCCTAGAAAAATTTATTTTAAAGTTTCAATTTAAAATATTTTTTGAACAATTATTTATTTCTTAAACAGAAAGACAGTACAAGGAACAAAGTGACATAACTCATTATGGAGTTAAATTTTGGTTTAAGCACTATATAAATAAAACCTGCCCTTTAGTGTGAAAAAGAAGATCGCGATATATTGAAACGTGTCACAATAAAATTACTCAGTTTAAATATTTTGATCCGTTTGCAAAATTCGAAGGAGATAGAGTTATGAAAAAATTTGAAATCCATAAGAGTTGAATCCATAAGCATGAAATTAAAAAAAATGAAACTAAGTGTTAAGTAAATACAAACCTTTTGAGTTTTTCTTATTGTAGCATGTTTTAATTAAATTTAAAAATTACTCATCATTATTTAAAAAATTGCCGGCTGGGAATTACCAAATAAACAAAATCATCGACAGTTGACATTGCAACGGTGAGATGCGGTGACAAAAACAGAAAAAAAACTAGTTAACGGATTCGGCTAACGGAGTATTTTTAACTGAAAAAATTATCAGAGCGGTTAATAAACGGAACCATAAACGGTAGGATTAAAAATACCATTTACTTTCCTCCGTTTTATAACTGGCCTTTTAGAGTTTTATTCTTAACGTATGCTCAAATTCTCCGTTAGTTTAACGTAGAGATGTAAATACGGCTGCAGGTATCAAAAACCAAATGTTAAAAGTTTTATGAGCACCAATTTCTTTTTTTTTTTTTTTTTTTTTTTAGGTGCATTCAGAAGTCCTTATGGTCTTATCACAAGCACCGCGGGAGAGCATTTAACTAGAAATTCACGCCTCCTTCTTTACCCATGTCGCTTATTGGGCACTCTAACCACTGCGCCACGGCTGCTCGATTTTACAGTCTTTGTTTAACTTACAAATAGTTAAAAAAAAGTCACAAATGTGTATTACTACACTAGCCAAAAAGTCCTACAAAACCTATAGAATTTTGTAACAAAAAAAAAAGACAATACTTTAAAAGTTATTAACACTTCTTAACTTACCTGTTTTAATTTAATGGGGTTAAAATCCGAAATTTATTTTATTCCATATTCTTATAGGATTCTAGAAGACTTTTTGGCTAGGGTAGATAAAAATATACAAGTAAACTGAAAATAATTATTATTTAAGCTAATTCTATTTGTTAACGCAAATATCAAGTATTATACATTTCATGTTTTTATTAAATGTACTGGATTTTAATTATGCTATATTATAATCTAAAAAGCCGTTGTTTGTAACAATAATAATAAAAAATGTGTGGATACAAACTATTTACCGCAAAAATTTGCTTACAGATTTACAAAGTATTGAATTAGTTCAAGGTAACGCTAATTTTTTTTTTTTTTTTTTTTTTTTTTTTTTTTTTACTGTATTAAAAACTGGCATAAATTTCTTATGCACATTTGAGCTATGATAGTTAGCCAACCGCACAAAGTCACGCAAACCTTATATGTTTTTTAGAGAATACTTTATTGGGCGCACTTGGTATTAACTACAAAACTTATGTGCAATTTTTTGTCATGTCAAAATGTTAAAAATAGCAAAAAACTGAATATCATAAAAATTCATATCCGGATGCGGATTCACATCAACGAAATAGTTTGAGATAAATTTTTTTTCCTACAGATTTTCATTATGTTCTAATTAATATATAATATCTTTTTGCAATTTCCAGAGGCTCACTATTTCGTTTTCAACAATTTTATTCTTTAAAAAAAATGAAGCTAAAAGTTAGCTTTTACCCAATTCCTTAAATATTTTAACTGTTTTTTTTTTTCTAGTGTTAGCAAAGATGTGGGCACTTTTGCTCTCAAATTTTTCACTTTTATGAAAAAGTTACAAAACAATCATTTTTCAAATAATTTTATTTGAACAAAAAAGAAATAGAACAGCATTCGAAGATTTTAATTTCCAAAACTTCCATTTGATAGTAATATTTTCAACTTGATCTTAAATATATTGAATTGTTTACTTTGGAGGTTGTCCACTACGGTTAACAATCCAACCACAAACAGCATCACCTCCAGCGTATCTTTCACGAAAGCCACTGCCTAAATAACGTTTTTTATGACAAGTGCCACTTGAATAAGTGAAGTGTGTGCACCGCGCATCTGCAATGCAAACGCCACCACATTGCGCACCTGTGCTTGGAACATGGTCAATGTCACTACCGTTAAAGTCGCAGTTTGTATCCCATCGGGCTAAACCACCGTCTCCTATACGCCAATTTCTTGCATACACAGAAAACAAAATCATTGAAAAAATGAAAACTGATGT